CCCCTGGAGATGGGGGTGGCTGGGCCCTACAATCCCAGCCCCCTCCCCAGCTCCTTCTCCCCTGCTTCCCAGACAACAACTAACCAACTCTCTTCCAGCCCTGCCCCCCAGCCAGGGGCCACATTCCACCTTCCTTTGTTTCTCTCCCTGGGGGGTAGCTGGTCAGACAGGTTGAGAGACCCCTTTTGCATAATGATTCATCCCCTGCCCTGCTGGGCAATGCTACAGCCAGCAGCCAGCAAGTTACCCCCCACTACGTCACAGTGAGTATGCTAGTCTAGCCTTTAGTGTATCTATGGAGAGGCTAAGCCAGCGGTTCCCAACCTTTTCCAGATGGGGACCCACTTTGACAATTCAGGAAGACTTGGTGATCCAAGGCAATTCAAAAACGGGGAGAAGTGGGGGGGAAGAGCCACCTGGAGAGACACTTGGCAACCCTTTTGAAATGTAATGGCAACCCATATTTGGGTCACGACCCATAGATTGGGAAACCCTGGGCTAAGCAGAGCCAATAGGCAGCTTGAAAGAGGCCTTTGTAAATCCAGAGCAGCCCCAAGAATGCTCAAGTTTATATCAGTGACCACTTGGAATATGGTCAGTGCTATATGCTTGTCGTATACTTGTCTGTTTTCTTCTGGGCTATGTCTCCAGCACAGAACATCCCTGAAGCTTTAAAGCAACCAAGTTGGATTCCTTTGAAGAGTGGTTATAATCAGAAAAGCAGTGCAGTGAGAAACAGCACTGTGAGAGTATGTCTACACAGCAGGAAGTCTGAGAGAGAGCGTTACAGGAGTCAGAGTAAGCAGTCCTCCAGCTCGACATAATTTTGACATGATGTAGAAATAGCTGCTTGTAATGTAGACGTGGACCATGTTATTTCGGAATAACATCGGTTATTCTGAAATAACACTGCTGTGTAGACATACCCTGCGTGTGCTGCTTTCATCAGCTGGGTAGACTCCATATAGATATCACTTTCTTAATTTGCAGAGAACCCACTGTTGTTCCCTCCATAGGTTCCAGAAAATCTTTAGGATCCTTTTGTTTCTTGCACTGCTGGCACTGATGAAGATCCTACAGTTAGGCTGACAGTTTTGATGATTTGTAAAGCCAGGTGATTTAACCGGAAGACTCATAAGCTGCTATTACGTACAAAAGGAAGTTACTGTTTTTACTTTACACTTCTAATTATAACAACGTCCTTTGGAATGTCTAGCTTATTAAAGCACTTTGCAAACATTAATTAACTCTTGGAGTGTTAATACTGTCAGTTGACAGGTGGGGAAACTGAGGCAGAGACAGCTTATGCACTCATCTGTTTTTATCCTGTTGTTGTCTCTTGTCTTATACAAAGACAGGTGAGGTAAGGGCCACCTTCTTCAATGGTTGTGGACAGTGCTGGAAACAATGGGATGCTGAGCACTGCTAAGGGCCAGTAAGTGCTACTACAATACAAAGAACAAGAATTAAGTCACTTGCCCAAGGCCATCCGGTGACACAGTGGCAGAGTCAGGAAAAAAGCCCAGGAGTCCTGAATCCCAGTCCCCAGCTTTAACCTCTAGATCCCACCTCCAATGATAATTACAACTTAAAAAGGATGCAGCGTTTATAAGCATAAAAACTGCCCCGTCTCAAATGTTGCAGGATTTGGAGCTTTCTATAAGTTTCACCTAAGAAGCCAGCTCTGTGTCTGTGCCCTATGACAGAATGAGCATCTGCCCTATGGCCGTGTCCAGACTCAGGGGTTTTTTCGGGAAAAGTAGCCTTTTCCCGAAAAAACTTCCCCTGCGTCCAGACTCAAGCCGCGTTCTTTCGAAATTATTTCGAAAGAACGCGGCTTTTCTTTCGATGGCGGTAAACCTCGTTTCACGAGGAAGAACGCCTTCCTTCGAAAGTTCCTCTTTCGAAGGAAGGCGTTCTTCAATGTAAAGAGGCCGTCTTCGAAAGAGAGCATCCAGACTCGCTGGGTGCTCTCTTTCGAAAAAGCGGATTTCTCTTTCGAAAGATCCGCCTGCAGTCTAGACGCGATCTTTTGAAAGAGCCTCTTTCGAAAGAAGCCTGCAGTCTAGACATAGCCTATGGGGCGGCGAGTGCATGGGTTCTCCATAGGGAGGGGGCCGCTCTGTGTAGCATTGTGAACGCCAAACCCATGGGTGCTGCTGATTGTATTTTTAAAAAGCCAAGCAACCAGCAGTCTATTTCTGCCTCTGACACTTACCGATTCCTGCCTCCAGTGAATCTTCCTGTAAAATATGCAGCAAAGAGCATGGGGAAAAGAGAAGGCATCTGCTCCCAGAGCCTGCTGCTTTTCTTGGCAAGGAGACCCCATGAGATGGCAGAAAGGAAAAAGAAATAGAGCTCCGTCTATTGCGGGGCCTGTCTCTACTCTCCAGGAAAGGCTGATGGGTCTGACCGTGCTTGGGCCCGAGGGATGAGTTTGTGGGGTCATGGTAAAGTTCCCAGGGACAAATGTCCCCATCTCTAATTGAGGGCTTGGTGCGGATGTCTGAGCAGAAGTGGCCATAGATGTGGTGAGTCCCCTTCCACCTTTAGGGCTGAGGGAGGGGGGTGGAGAGAGAGGCTGTTCCCCACTCTGGCACGGCGAATGCCGAAGTTGGGGGCCCGCAAGAGCGCTCCGAAACCTTGCCTCGAATGGCTCTGGTGAACAACTTCCCCCACAAAATCCTAATACCCAGATTTTGGAGGACTCGTTGCCACCACCTAAGTAATTCCAAGAAAATCAGGGAAGAGAGTCTTGGGAAATCCCCTCCTTAAGTTAAGCTCTCCCCCCTTCCCCAACCTCTGTTTTTCCCAACTCCAAGCAAAACGGAGGGAATGCATAGACAGCAATGGACTCTGTCCTTGGAACTAGGCACCGAGTCCTAAGGACACAACAATCAACCAATACCGGTTAATTAGAAAAAAAATCCAGTCTTTTATCATCAAAACAAAACGACAATTGCAAGCATAGTACATCCTGTGGATATACACCAGTCCTCCCTCACTCTCAGCTCCCACTGGGGCAGAGCAGGAGTAGCTCCTTTGATGCCCGTGTATTATTATTATTATTTATTACTCATGGTTATTACGGTGCTGCCATTGGGCCCCAGTGTGGTAGGTGCTGGACAGAGAGAGCAGCACACAGAGCAGTGGGGGAGGGTTTCGTTCAGACGGGATGAGCTATGAAGGGAAGAAATGGAGGCCCAGGGAAGCAGATAAGAAGATCAAGTGTGGAGTGACACTGGATAAACGTAAAATCGGAAGGAGCCCGGCCAGCAAGGGCCCAATCCCGTGCACTTGTGTCCATATGCCATTCAGGGTGTGTGCGTGCCCCTAGCACACTGCTTGCTGTGGCACCAACATCATCTTGGGCACATCCACCCAGCCGCAAAGCCAGGCACTTTGCACGGTGTCCGTCCGTAAGGAGCTAAAGCAGCTAATGCTACACCAAGATTACAGCCACCCAGTTGGCAAACTGATCGACAGTTTGGGTTGACTCAGAATCCCCTGCTGGGGTGGGATCTTGAGAAGCCCGTTGTTCAGCTAAAACTGTTCTGCTTAACAATTTAATGTATGCGTCTGAGTCTTAAAGATCCGCATAAAGGGATTTTGATATAGATAGATCAAAATGTAACTGCATGTCATGGCTTATCATTTACGGAGGACAACTTTTGTTGAGGAAGGAATATTTTATTGCCTGTCAGGAAACTTAGGGCTGGTCTGACACTGGAGGGACAAAGGGACAGGTGAACATCAGGACTTGGGAGCTGCCGGAGCGGAGGCCAACCGGAAGATCACAGAATGAGCTTTGCTTTGGGGCTCAGTTTTATGCTGGGGTTGGAAATGTGGTTTGAGTTTTGGATTCGGACCCCCACATATAGAGGGAGATTTCACTGAATTTGGAGGAGAGTCAGGATTCAAGGTGTGAGATTTGCATTGAGATTTTGGGTACGTCTACACTTTTGGAATAAGCTTTTCTGGAAGATATCTTCCGGAAAAGCTTATTTCAAAATAGCACATCCACATTAGGGCTGTGTCCAGACTCAGGGGTTTTTTCGAAAAAAGTAGCCTTTTTTCGAAAAAACTTCCCCTGCGTCCAGACTCAAGCCGCGTTCTTTCGAAATTAATTCGAAAGAACGCGGCTTTTCTTTCGATGGCAGTAAACCTCAATTTACGAGGAAGAACGCCTTCTTTCGAAAGTTCCTCTTTCGAAAGTTCCTCTTTCGAAAGAAGGCGTTCTTCAATGTAAATAGGGCTTCTTCGAAAGAGAGCATCCAGACTCACTGGATGCTTTCTTTCGAAAAAGCAAGCCGCTTTTTCGA